TCCCCCACAGGTGGAAGTCCCACCTTCCCCTTTCCTCAAAAGTCCCACCCCATCTCCATCTTCCCCCCATTGGCTGAACAGCCATCCAATGGGGACTACAGAAGGAGGAGGAGTTAGGGACTGCTGGGAAGAAGGAGGCTTGGGGAAAATGGCTGCCATTGTACAATAGGAGGGTGGGGGAGCTGTGATGACCTCAAAAACCAGGATGCTTAGTGCATCAGACTCAGACAGCTGGGAGATTAGGGGTTAATGCCTCACTGAAAAGCAGTTTGAGTTACAGGCTGCTGCCTGCTTGCACACACACACCCCCCCACTGGTCAGCGCCAACTCAGGAGAGTTTTACAAAATCTTGTGAGTCCTGTCAGAGAGTCAGTCAATCGTGTTGTATGCACAGCTTATGAAACACTTTATACTCTGCCACTGACTAACAGGTTTGACTTGGTGGGTGCACTTAGCACTTCCATGGTGCATATGTTAGGTGCCATTTATGATTTTAATATCATGAATGTATTCAGGTATTGTTATGTCCGCTGACCACCACCAGGGGCCAGCGAATACCCCTGAGCTTGACTCTGTAGGAACAATGGGGACTAGGCTCCTAGTCTCTCCACTGGGGAACCAATAGGACCGTGGCAGGCGATTTAAACCCACCAACGGGACCTAGGGGAGTGTCCCCAGGTGTGTATATAGTTGGCCAGCCGGCCAGTAGTTTTTGTTTTTGTTATGTACTAGTAAACCATGCTGATCACTACATCCATATTAGTGGTTTCTACATGCGTTTAACCCACTACACTTCAGGTATTAACTTTGGTTCATTTGTAACTGTTGTTTGAATGCATGCTGGGAAGGTAAAATGCTGAAAGAACAAAATGTTAACTTGCTATTTTTGCTCAGGCTTATGGCTTTGGTAGGCCAGCTATAACTGTGCATGTCTCTGGCTAAACAAAGAACAATGGCACCTTGTAAACCATATCAGCTATATAGATACTTTTAGAGTTTTACAGTCTAAGAGAAAGAAAGACTTATTGTTCAGCTAAAAGAAAAAACTTTACTTGGGAAAGCCCAGCCTAAAAGGTTTTCTGCCAATCAGAGACCTGTTAGGTCAGAGTGCTGATGTTTGATGGAACCAATAATTATGATTTATTTGTAAGCGTCATATGGAGTATAAAACCCTATGTCTCCCATTGTAACCTTAGGGAGAACTGTGGGATCCAAAATCTTGTTGAACTCATGCTTCCCTACTTTATTATTAATAAAGTTCTAGATCTGGTTCTACTCTACAGGATTGTGCCGAGTGTTTTCTCAGATTGGGCTGGGGAAACACACCGTAGATGGGATTTCTGTCTTTCAAATGGAGGTTCCACTGAGATAATTGCTGCCATCACAGAGAGCTTCTGCTGTGCCGTGACTTCCAAACCTTCGGGATACCTGTGCGCAACCTGCTGATTTCAGCCATCCAGGAGCCTTTTCGGATTTACTCCTGCAAGCAGTGAGTTCTCTTAGTGGACCAGCAAAGAGCTCTCATCTGGGCCATTCCTGTAGACCAGAATTCACTTCAGCCGGCTTCAAAAGGGACAGGGTATTTCTTGGGTTCAGGCAACAAAGGGATTTAGTCTCTCCCTCGTAAGGCTCTTCTTTCAGAGAGCAGAGAAGCCCAGCTGGGCGGGGAAAGGGGGGGCTCTGGGATGTGTTTGGGTTTTTTTACTCTGTCTGATCTGAACTGAACGGCCATTACTCTGAAAGGGGTTAATCCTCATTACTGTATTCTGGGAATCGAAGTTCCAACTCTGAAAGGGGTTAATTCCTCACTATTCTGGGAATCGAAGTTCCAACTCTGAGAGGGGTTAATCCTCATTACTGTATTCTGGGAACTGAAGTTCCAACTTTGAAAGGGGTTTATCACAAGCTACTGCAGAGCTCTACCCCTCTCCACTCTCTTCTTCGGAATCACCTGTTCTGTTCTGATCTGGGAAAGCTTTCTGCTGTTGTTTACTCTCTCTCTCTTCACAGAGAGAGTTACTTTGTACTTTAAGAAACTGGGTACTGGAAAACTGTTCTGAATCTGTGAATCTGTGCGCCGCATGTTTAGTATTCGTTAGGTGGTTGACTAGGGCTGGGCATTTTCGTTAGGAATTTTCTCTTGAGTCTTGTTTAAACCGGCACTGTTATGTGGGAGGCGTGGTTTGGAATCTGGAAAAAAAAAAGAATTCATTGCTCTGTCTGTGTGTGGTTTTGGAGTGTGGGAAAATTCAGTGCTTATCCTGCACTGTGGTGAAAGTTTGGATTACCTGTTTTGAAAATATTTTTCGTAGGCTTTGAAGATTTTAATTGTGAGTTGGTATTTTCCTGAACTGAACTTCTTTGAACTTAGTTTAAATAAGATGGGTAATTGTACCAGCAAATGTGTTCATGTGACAGATGTTATTACTCCTTTGGAATATATGGAACATATTGTGGAAACTGGAATTGTTGGGGAAAAGATTATTCGGTTGATAGACTTATGACTCTGTCAGTAGACACCTGGCCAACATATCCTATATCAGTACATACCCGATGGCCAGCCCAGGGTACATTTGATTTTAATGTGATTAATAAGCTTTTGCAATACTGATGTTCTCATTACAAACTGGATGAGACTGAATACTTGGAACTTTGCTGCAAAACTAGGAAAGAGTTGTGTAGAGAAAAGACATTTTGAGTTACCTTTTTGTCTCCAGATGCCACTCAAGGGAAAAATGAATGCTCCATACTTTGAGAATGCCTGAGATGGTAGAATAGACTCAGGCTCAATCGTTAACACCTGCCATCCATCCCAGACATCCGATAACAGTTTAATCCCAGTAGCCATGGTGGATCTGGTAAACTTAGTCTCATCTCCACCATATGAAGCTGTACAGCCCACACAGCCAGCATTACACGATTACCAGATCACTGGAAGCTCTGATACTGAACTGGTTGAGGCAAGCTCTAGTGACACAGCCAGACCCCAAGCTGCAGACACAGATCAGTCACAAATACCCCAGACCAGTTCAAACCAGTCCACCCTCCAACAGGAGCTACAGCAATGCCCATCAGGATCCACATCATGGCATTCTGGACTAGCTGGAGTTTCTGGATCAGTCTGTTAGGGGTAGGCCAGTGTAAAGTTACAGTAATCCAATCTGGAGGTGACTGTTGCATGAATTACTGTGGCCAGGTAAGGGTGGGACAGGAAGGGGGCCAGTTGCCTTGCCTGGCACAGCTGGTAAAATGCCAGCTTGACAACATCTGTGATTTGGGCCTCCATTGATAAGGAAGTGTCCAAGACCACACCCAAACTCCTGGCGGCTTCAACCAGTATTAAAGGTACACTGTCAAGAATGCGAAGTTGGCACCCTGATCCTGAATCCCCCCCTACCCTGCCACAGAACCTCCATCTTGGTTTGATTCAGTTTCAGCCAACTCTTCAACCATCCCACCATGGCCCCCAGCCCAGCCCCTTGGCCAGATTTTGTGGGGCAGTGTGGGGCCCATCAACAGATACAGCTGGGTGTCATCAGCGTACTGGTGACACCCTAGCCCTAAGCTCTGCACCAACTGGTTGAGGGGGCACATATCGATGTTAAACAACATTGGAGAGTGGATTGCCCCGAGGGGCCCCATATGCTAAGGGGTACCTAGTTGACACCCTCCCCCCAGCTCTACCCAACCTTGGAGAAAGGAGACAAGCCACTGCAAGACTACCCCACTCCTGTGTCAGCGAGGTGGTGGGTAAAAAGATCATAGTCGACTGTGTTAAGCACTGTCGTAAGATCCAACAAGAGTAGCACCAACCCATCACAATCCAGTTGCCTGAGGAGATATTCATGATGGTGACCAATGCCATCTCCATCTCACGGCCAGGGCAGAAACTAGACTGGAATGAGCCAAGTGCTGATGTGTCATCCAGGAAACTCTGGAGTTGCTCAGCTACCACTCTCTCAATTACCTTACCCAGAAACAGCAAATTCTGAACTGGGCAATAATTGGATCTAAAGGACCCATAGAGGGCTTTTTCAAGAGTGGTATTACCACAGCCTCTTTCAGACCCTCTGTGTAGACCCTCACATCCAGGGACAGATTAATAATGTCTACCAGGGGGCCCTGTATTCCCCCACAACTGGCTTTTACCAGCCATGTGTCAACATCCATGTGTCCTATAAGTCTGGCTGTAGATCATATCAATCTGTTTGACAGGAGCTGACAGCTCAGGGTGTCAGTAGAGCTGGCTCCAACCGGTTCTGTGTAGTTGATAGCAGAGCTAATTAACAGTGACTCAGCATTGGGTCCTGATTGGACAATGCTAGTATAAATGTGATGCTGTACAATGTACTATCTTTCCTGATGGAAACCTGATGTCTGCGTGAGCATTTTGTCGTTCTGAGCAATATATTGGTGGAGGCTCTTGTAAATAAATTGTATATAGTTTTACACCAAGTCTATAAGACTTACGTCTTCTTTGATACTCTCACACCACTCGCAACCTGCAGTGGGCTAGCACCGCACAAACCTCGACACCATGAGGGATACAGATCTAAGAGGCATGTGGTAGGCCTAACAGCACCCAGGATTCTGTCAACATCTGTTGGAGAGAGCCGGCTGAAGTTATCAAATACTGAATCCAAAGACGGCCAAAGGGCCTCCAGTTCACATACTATATTAGCATTACAGTCCACTATAATCAAAATGGATTCTTGGGACATAACTAGCCCACCAATATGTTCTCAAGCAATAGAATCTTTGCTTCCTTGCACTTTTGTGTTTGTGTATGGGTACAGTTCTTCCTGCAACAATGAAACCTATAGAATCAAAATCTTTAATGTCAAAGAGCTACTATACAGACATAAATAGTAAAAATATGCTCTGGATAACATCCTTGCTTACACACACACACACAAATCTGTACTCTCTGAATTTATTTCAGGGAGCAACACCCCCCCCCAAAGGCTGCTATTGGCACTGTGTCTCTGCTGCCCTCTCAATCAGGATCGTTGGTAGAGCTTCATGATGTTTGCATCGTGAAGTTTTTTCCACACCCTTCGTTCCAGATCAAAGTCATGATTGAGATAAAAGATTAAGCGCTTCCATTCCGTGTCATAATAGTGGTCTGAATACTTTTGGTAACCTTCTGTGATGTACCCATAAGCGCTTACCTGGGGGATGCAAAAAAGTGCAAAACATTATAGAGTTACAAAGGAAAATGTGTTGGCTGCAGAAAATGGGGGGGACATGAATTTCTAAAGGGAAATTTACAAATGATGGGATGTGGGTAAGGAAACAGTTGGCTTACTAAATTGTGGGAAACACAGAACTGAAGATGGTGGCAGCACTATTCCAAATCATGTAGAGAAATTGATAAAGGGCATACATTTCCCACGTAGGAAGCACAAATGCTGCAACTGGACTAAGACTGAAACCTAATATGCATTTTAAAGCACAGGAGACTGAAAGGTTACATCAAATTTGGATTTATTTATTTATTTGGTCCTTCACTGTGACTGAGAAACGTGCTTTGATGTCCTGTGCAGCATCCCCAAGTCCCTACCTGGTCACAGAGATGGAGCGCAGTTAATAAAAGGAATGCTCCTGTTGTGGGTCTATAGAGCCGCCAGTAGGGTTTGTCCAGAGACTTGGATTTTAGAAACCTGCAGTGGGACATAAGATATCAGGTGACATTCCTGTTGTATGTATGTGACAATGTTCCCTCTAAGCTGTCAAGTCTTGTGAGCAGAAATTCTACTTTGTGAGCTACTGGCATTAAAATTGTGAGCAAGCAATTTGGCTACTGCATAAATTAGTTTGCTCTGGAGCCATCCTTCCTGAGCTAAGACAAAAATGTGTGAGCCGGAGGCTAAAAAAAGTGAGCTGGCTCACACTAACTCAGCTTAGAGGGAACACTGGACACACAATGTTCATGTGGTAAAAAAAATGGTGTGCATCCATCTCACAGAATGTAGACAATATACCACATAACACATACCACAAACCACCCATGGTATCATCATTCCCTCTAATAATGAAGTTGATGGTTGAGTGCTTACCAGCAAGACAGAGGCATCAACAGACAAGGTTCGAAAAATTTCCAGATATGCAGAAAACTAGATGAGAACTGGTAATCAGTCAGGGAGACCAAGTTTTAATTTCTCAGAACCCCCAAATGAGGGGTTCAACCAGCTGAAACTGTCTCCTTCAAGGTAGCTGGAACAAGCTCCCTTCTTCAAAGAAACATTAACTGCTTTCTTAATTCAGCCAATTACCCCATCCCCTGAGGGGTAAACTGTAATAACTTCATATGGACAAGTGTAGAGTCAAGAGCTAGTAGGCTGAATTATCCAAGAAAACCCCAGATTCCTAGAATTGGGGGGGGGGGGAGCAGTTAGACTTTTTTTTTTTGAATGGATTAATTACATCTGCCAAATGTATTCTCATGTTCTTATATTTAATAGCTATAGATTCCCTCAGTGCAGATCAAAACAAGTGTACAATAAGGCCACCCATGGATAGGATATAAGCTTCTGCAACCCTGGGGGAATCACTAGGTTTGCACAAATAAATAAATAAATATTTTATATTATTTGTCCTCATCAAGACATTCAGGAAGCCTTCTTTTTAAATTTATTAACTACTATTTTTTCCTGCAGTTGGTACACAATGTTGCGGACAGAATGTTGCCTGAAGTGAGTCAGAAGGACCATATCAATGCTGCCTTGTTTACATGAACACATGAAGCTGCCATACTGAATCAGATGCTTGGTCACCTCCTACACCTAACAGGCGGCTGTCTGTCAGGTGCAGCAGTGGTAGCAGGGTGCTTAAAGCCCCGAGGGAGCCTGCCCCAGCAGGCCCAGCCTCCACAGCGGCCGGTGTCTGTCAGGTGTAGGAGCAGGGTACTTTAATCCATCAGAGACGCCACCCCAGCAGGATCACCTTAGCAGTGCTGCTGGCCCAGCTTAGCCACACTCACACCCACAATGGAAATATACTCCAAATTTGTAGAAAACTGGTTTCTTTTATTAAGTTATTTAACTTCTCACAATGTGGGTTCTAGAAAACTGGTTCATATGAACTTGCTTAATATCTGATTGCTCGGATGGTGTTTTGAATATGTAGTTATGTCCCAGTTCTAAAATGTAACATAAATGAGAAGGATTTTTGTAAAAAAGAAAAGAAAAAAGGAGGGGGTATACCCTCCCCCCAAATTCAGTGCCCAGGCAAAACCCCTGCACCAAGAAACCCAAAATAAGGGGAGTGCATTCCTACCATGACGTCAACCTCCCCCAAGAGATTTCTGAGAAACATGACCTCTGCTTCTTAAATGATGACTCCTTCTTAAATACAGTTCTATGTGGCCTGCTCCAGAGTGAGCTCATCAAGCAGCCTGGTGATCCTAGCACGTGAGGGCAGAATCACCAATGTGGTGGTCTAGAGAGAGGTCCTTCAGTACAGAAAAAAAGGACGTATGTCTCACTTCATTTCTTACACTACAATCTTCTCTGTTAGAATTCCTACAACAAATTTCACATTTCATGTTTCACATCATCAGTATCATAACTAGATATACGGAACTTAAATACCATAGCGAAGCACGGGTATCAGGCTAGTAGACTATAATAGAGAATCAATTTGGGGCTCTGGGGATATCTGGGGCTCTGGGGAGGCTGTTTTTTGAGGCAGAGGCACCAAATTTGCAGCATAGCTGCTGGTGCATCTCCTAAAAAACTCCCCCAAGTTTAAAAAAAAATGGATTGGAGGCCCAATTCTATGGGCCCCAGAAGTAGGTATCCCTCCATTGTTTCCGATGGGGGGGGGAAAGATGTTTAAAGGGATGCGGTCACTTTAAATACCTTCTCCAAGCTGAGTGGTGAGTGAACTCCAAAGGTATGTAAATTTTAAATGACTTTTCTATAGTGAACTCTCAGCTTAGAAAGTTTAAATGCCTTCAGAGTTCACTTGCTGCAGCAAGAAGGCATTTAAAGTTTAAATGCCTTTGGAGTTCATTCATGCACCATGGCTTGAAGAAGGCATTTAAAGAGACCCTTTAAATGACCTCTAACTGCAGCTATCCAGGAACCCCAAAAAATCCAGAATATTTTCAGGGTTTTTCAAGGCGGACATTTTCGGATAGGCGAATCACTAGCCCCTTCAGTGATCGGCTGAGAAAATAATAAATACCGATAAGGTATTTATTGGGTATTTTTTCAGCTTGGTTTATACCGAGTACACACCTGTAATTGACATGATCGCACCTAGGCACCCTCCCAGGGCTAAGAGCCCACGCAGCACCTGGTTTTACTGAGGGGCTGTAGATAATAAAAAGACAGGGGAGATGGCTAGAGTGACAGTGCAGAAAGACTCAGGATGAATCCGACAAGACACATGCTAGACCTCACTCTGGTCATCCTTGGAGGTCCTGATTCAATTGCCCCTGCCATATGAGGCTAGATGCATAGCAACCCGAGAAAGGCTTTCTTGGTTTTGGCACCAAAACTTTGGAACTCCTTTCCCAGGGAGCTTTGTCGCTCTCTATTGCTGTCTTCTGCCAGTGGACAAATCATTTTTTTGTTTTGTTTGGCTTACCCCCAATAACTGTTAATGGCCCTCCTCCCTGATTCTGGTTTTATTTATTTGAATTAATTTATTTGAATTATTTTATTGAATTATTTTATAATTTAATTGTTTTAAATGTTCAAATATTTTAATGTTTGGACCCTGTTTTGGGTAGAAAGGCAGTATAAAAATGTTTTAAATAAATAAATGTAGCAATTTATTTATCTGCCTCCCTCCGCCATTGTCTTCTGTCAGCAGGAGAATACATTTTTGTTCTGTTTAGCCATACCCTCAGTAAACTCTTATTAGCCCTCCTCCCTGGTTGTGTTGTGTTTGTATGTATATATCCTCTTATTGTATTGTTAAATATTTTACATATGCATTTTAAATGAGGTTTTACTGTCTTAATACCTTGACGTTTGCTGCCTTGGAGACCCTATTTGAGTGGAAAGGCAGCATAGAAAGGTTTCAAATAAAAATAAATTTATTTCACAAACATTGTTATCCTTTGACAGTTATAACTCAGAGGAGAAAGTAGCTGATGGGGCTGGCTAGTGCTGTCAGCAACGCTCCCTCTAAGCTGTGGAGTCTTGTGCGCAAAAATTCTACTTTGTGAGCTACTGGCATTGAACCGGTGAGCGAGCGATTTGGCTACTGCATCAGTTTGTTTGCTCTGGAGCCCTCCTTCCTGAGTGAAGACAAAAACGTGTGAGCCGGAGGTTAAAAAACTGTGAGCTCGCTCACACGAACTCAGCTTAGAGGGAACACTGGCTGTCAGCATGGTTTTTTATGGGGTATCCATTCATACAGTGGCCCCTTCCCCTCAAATTCATCAGCTACTACTACTAAACTCTGGAGCTTTTGAAATATATGTGGAAGCAAGAGTTTCAGTCAGCACAGCTACTCCTACCACTGTGGCATTATAGATGGAGAAGCTGTGCCTGCCCCATGTTGCTGCAGTTATTAAAGCCCAAGAGCACTCACATGCATTGAATCTGGTAACCACACTTATTTTGGACATTGTAATGACAAAGGGCTCTTTATTATTGAAGTTAACTTTATTTATGACCTACCTGTTTTTTGTGTATCTGAGAAAATCTGGATGAATTACAAAGTATTTATCCAGGCTGAAATGATCAAATCCGTCCCTTGGCTTTTGCCTAGGAAAGGAAGCAAAAAATTTAGATATTTATACCCTGCTTTTATCCAAATGATGACCCAAAGCAGCTTACAACATTCTTCCCTCTCCCACTTTATCCTCACAGCGACACTGTGGGGTATAGGTTGGTCTGAGAGATTGTGATGAGCCCAAGGTCACCCAGTGAGCTTCCATGGCAGATTGAAGATTTGAACCTGGGTCTCTCAGATCCCAGTCTAACACTTCTAATCACACCTCTATGCTGATACACCATGCATACACCATACTCTCATGTCAGACAACTCAGCTTCCAATATCCAGACCAACTTTTAAAATTTATTTGCCTGTTACCTGTGGGACAAGCTTTTTTGTTAGCTCCCTTCAGTTACCCTGGGTGGTGAGGGAAAGTGGCAAATACAGATTTTAATAAATAAAAGACAGGGGAGTAGTGGATTGATAGTTAAGAACCATAGCCACAGAGCATTCTATAAAGAGAAGCTAAAACTGCAACAATGTTGAAGGAAGTGTGTTCTGAACAGGGCCTTGACTACACAGCCATCTCACCTATAGAAGTCCAAAAATCCTTTCCTTACATCCTTGTTCAGCAGAAGAGCTTTCAGCCATTCGTAATCTCTTTCCCCTTCCAGGAAATGAAGGTACTTGATCTCCTATGAAACACATCACATGTTGACAGGGGGTAGAACAGAAGGAACACAAGGACTGCCAGAATGTATTTAACCACTGGGCAGGACTGGGCATACTGCATGCCAGCCAAAAAAATTCCAAATTCTGATCCAGATCTCATTCTGAATAAATTATGTAAATGATGCAAGGCCAACCTCAGCTTTTCAGAGCAGCAGAACAAGATCAAAATGAATAAGGGGATAAAAATGAAACGTTCTGCAAAATTTGGAGTACGCATGGGCATGAAACAGGAAAATGAGGTTAAGTTTGTGGCATGCCCAGTTCACTAACCATGAACCATCACAACCTTTTTGGGCCTGCATGAACTGGTTCAGCTTGTGAGATTTGTGGTGTGGTAGAATGCCCCTCCCACCCATGTGCAAGGGACCTCCAGCTGACTCTCCTCTACCTGCCCTCCAAGTTTGGTGAGGATTGGATTTTACATGTTACAGCCCCCCAAAGAAGGTGCCCCCAGGAAAGTGCTTTTTGGGGAAAAGACGGGCACAGGTTCAAGAGTGTATAGAATGGATCCTGAGCAAGCTAGAGACAACAAAGTTGCAGGGGGCCTCCCCCGGATGCTTCTCTACATGCTGTACAAGTTCCAACCCACTCCCCGTTGCTTTGTTGTTTGGTAAACATTTAGATTGAGTGGAGACAGTCTATCTGGAAATGTATCTGTTCATGAACTGCAATTAACCTCCACAAACTGCTTGAAAGTTCGTGGAAAGTTCGTGCCAGCTGACCTGCCATGAACTTCAGTTTGCAAACCACAAACTGGCCAAAATTCGTCATGAACACGAGCTGGTCCGTGCCTATCCCTAATTTGGAATGCTGATTGAAACATCTAGAGATGGTCCAAACTATGCTAACTGAGAGAAATCAGAGACTCAGCAGTCATCGAGACTAGGGTTTTGTGACATAAAACCCATGCTATTCCTTGCCAAGCTTATAAGTAATGGTTCCTCATCCTGTCAGCATGAATGCCTTAATCATTCAAGGAAGCAGACAAAAAGGAGACTGTATTACCCAGTACCACTTCTCTCCTTGCAGTGGATGATTGTTGGTTTGAGGCTAATGGTCAGCCATCTCATGGATTCTGTACTGTTTGGGAATATTATGAATTTCTTTATGCATAGTTAACATAGGTTTCCTTAAATGTGTATAGAACTTACTCTATAAGACAGATAGCGAGCAATATTAGAGGTAACATACTAATGGAGCGGATTTTAAACGTATCTTCAAAGGCATGTCCTAAAATACAAGCTTTTTGAACTGATATTTTGTCTGTATCTGAAATTACAAGCTACCAATTGCCAATAAACCTGAAAGATTAAGTATTTAATGTGAATTTGGTTATAAATTTGGTTATAAATCTACTGAATGTGGCAAAAAATGTATTTCAACAAACTGGAAAAAATGCATAAACACCAACAAGATCAGAATGATTTAATAAGATCTGGAAAATGAGTTTAATGATCAAATTAATATTCTATGTATATTAATATGTCATATATGAAATGAACAAATTCTATGAATGATGCCCTATCTTTTACCATACTAGAACTTTAAATTCCAAAATGGAATCTGCCCATATGTATTCTTTGGTATGTTATAACTCATAAGATGAAATGTATTTATAAAATTGACTTGGTAAAAAGAGCTTGTTATCATTTATTAAGTAAATAGCATTTTAAAAGACCATAGTGTCCATAATTTTTCAAATAGCTGAATAGCTGAGATTTCTGGCAGCTATACCAGAAAGATGACTAAGGACCCAAAGCTTCTATTGTATAGAGGGCTGTTGGTCAGAACTGGGATGCAGATCTGCCCTTTGGCAGCTAAATTATAGAGACCAAACTAAAAGTAACCATCCTACAGCCCTAACAAGGGAGCTGAGGATAAATGTTATGCATCAGTCTTACCGTTCCTTTTGGGATCGTCTTGAATCCATGGTCTCCCAGTAACATAAGGGAAGATGTTAAGGAATAGGCTGTGAATCCATAGAAGGATGTTCTTGTTCCAACATCTCTCTCATAACCCTTGATCACGGCCCCACTCACCCTGGACCAAGAGACCATATTGAATTGTAAAGTTTGCCATGCAGGCCTGCATCACTGGATTTCATTACTGCAGGGTTGAGGAACTTTAATGGCTGATGGAACATAACTGACTCAGGGTTTCTATGGAAAAATAAATCCAGAGGAAGGCCTGTAGGATGTTTAATTGTTCTAACATATTGTCAAAGTCGGCCCTCATTTGCCATGTGTTTGGCTCTGGTATCTGTGGCTCACTACCATGTTTCATTCTAGCTGGGAACTGGGAGGGGGTGTGGGAGCGTGTGTGGAGCTGCTTTGCTGAGAGTTGTGCTAGCTTGTAACTGCATCCACACGGGGCCTCCTCATTGTGGGAAGTGTGCGTACTTGACCTTGAGTACCAGACACTGCTAGACAATGTAACCATTGGCTTGTAGGTGCTCGGGGAGGGGTAGTGAAGCACTGTAGATTTTGGCAGGCTGGATGTATGGGTGTGATTGGACTGGTCACTGGGGGGGGGTTGTTTGAATAATGTATAATATGAGAACTGGCACCAAGGGAGCCAGTTCTAACACAGATTCATCTATGCTTGAAATCTTTTATCTCTCAATAAACAAATCACTGCCAAGGGAGTGTTGTTGGGAGCGAGTTTCTTCAAGACCTGACATATAGAAAACAGAAAACCCAGTCAAGACCACACTCACCCTACATATTACAGATGGTTCAAGTATAAGGGATGTTTGCTGGAATATGAAATTCAGTGAATACTCAAAATAAACCTGAGTGAATTTATAACCAGATTCTGATATCAACCTTTATATAAACTGCAGGAATCCCCTCACATTTTGAATGAAATATAGCCAAAATACTTTTGGGACCTTCAAATTTACTTAAGGTTTGGAATACTACATTTTGATTTTCTAAAGCCAGCTACTGAATTTAAAAAGTTGTTAATGGGGTTATTGTGGTCATCCCAGTCAGACGATGTGAAAATCTCAGTTTTCAGTTAAAATGTGGTCATCAGACCTACCAGAAGTGACAAACCAATGTTGGTATGAGGCAATACCAATCAAAAGGATGGCCCCACAAGTCGGAGATTGCGTCATACTAGAAGCGTAGCTAAGCCTTGATTATATACGGCATGGCCAGTATGGCCACAACAATAGCCATTATATGTTTACTAGGTTTACTTGACAATGTCTGAGAGTTGAAATAATTCAAGTCTGGAAAGGGGAGAACTTTGTTATGATCAGACCAGCCCAATTTATACAAGCCTAATTTATACAGGTTCTGTGCGCCTTGGCGTTTAGTCATGCTGACCACATGACTACGGAGAATTCTTCCAACAGCGCTGGCTCTTTGGCTTGGAAACAGAGATAAGCACTGCCCTCTAGAGTTGGATTTGACTAGTTTTTGAGCAAGGGAAACCTTTACCTTTAATTTAGACAGGCAGCAGAGTGGGGTGGTAGACTCCTGTGGAAGTAGATTGGTCTACTATTTCACATTACAGTGAAGAATCTCATTTTTGAACACTCACTCATATAAAATTCCCTATATATAGAAAAGTAGCATGCCAGAGACAAAGGGTCTAGCCCAGTACATTCCTTTATGCACCAGTTCCACTGAGAGCCTGTGTGGTATAGTGGTAACTAGAACGTCAGATTAGGATGTGGGAGATCCAGGTTCGAATCCCCAATCATGGAAGTTTGCTAGAAGACCAGTCACACACCATCAGCCTAACTAGGGTTGCCAAATCTGGGTTGGAGATTTCGGTTTGGAACTGTGGAAGGTGGGGCTTGGAGAAGGGAGGGACCTCAGTGGAATATAGAGTCCATCCTCCAAAGCAGCCATTTTGTCCATGGCAACTGATCTCTGTTTTCTGGAAATCAGCTGTAATTCCAAAAGATCTCCAGACCCCACCTGGAAGTTGGCAACCCTAAGCCTAAACTATCTCACAGTGTTGTGAGGATAAAATGGAGGAGAGAATGATGGATTGCACTTTGGGTCCACTTTGTGGAATAAAGAGGATTTCTCACATACAGCTCACATTCAGAAAAGTCAATTCCACTTGCACTCTGAAGTAGTACAGTCCATTCTATTCCACAAAAAAGAGAAAAAAATAACCAAGAAAGACAGGGTAAAGCAAAATGTTGAAATAAATAAATAAATAAGTATGATGATGTGATAGACAGTAAATGGTTAATGCTGTAACCTGGTCTGAGAAACTTGAATGACAGGAGATTCAGATGGAATTCTTCAGTTGAGAAAGTCAGTTAGGAGGGGCAGTTGGGAGTGGACAGTTAAGAACTGACAGCTGACTGGGAAGGAAGGCTAAGGGAGTGAGAGGATCAAGAATGATCCCCATTCAAGCCTGAGAGAAATAGCTCCTAGAAAAGAGGGGTGATCCCTATTCTATTTATTTATTTATCAGATTTATACCCCGCCCTTCCCGCAAAGCAGGCTCAGGGCAGCTTACATACAAGCATAAATACAGTTAAAATCATACAATTATTTAAAACACAACAGATAAAAAAATACAAACACAAAGTGCTGGAGGCAGTTAAAAGATTAACTTAGATGGCTCATTTTCAAAATGAATTTCCACTTCCCAGATATTCTCAGATGTTCTTCTGCTCATAATTTCTTGTGGCATCGGCTCCATGTTAAAACCACGAGCCAGGGCTCTATGGCAGCGGCAGCCCCTAATTAAATGCCTGGCGGAAGTGCTCCGTCTTGCAGACCCTGTGGAACTGTGAGAGATCCTGCAGGGCCCTGATCTCCTCTGGGAGTTTGTTCCACCAGGTAGGCGCCACCACTGAAAAGGCCCCAGCCCTGGTAGTAGCTAGCCTGGCCTCCCTCAGGCCAGGGAGGGTCAACCAGTTTTGAGACCCAGACCATAGTGCTCTCTGGGGTATATACGGGGAAAGGCGGTCCTGTAGGTATGTCGGACCCCAGCCATATAGGGCTTTAAAGGTAAGAACCAGCACCTTGAAGTGGATTCAGTATGCTATTGGCAGCTACTGCAGTGTCCTCAGCACAGGCTGGATGTGCTCCTATCTGGGGAGGCCCATCAACAGCCTGGCTGCGGCATTCTGCACTAGGTGCAGCTTCCAAATCCGCGACAAGGGCAGCCCCATGTAGAGAACATTACAGTAGTCTAGTCTTGAGGTGACCATCGCATGGATCACTGTAGCCAGGTTGGCGCGGTCGAGGAAGGGAACCAACTGCCTAATCAGCCTAAGATGGAAAAAGGCCGACTTAGCAGTGGCTGCTACCTGGGCCTTCATTGTAAGGGAGGGATCCAGGAGCACTCCCAGGCTCTTCACCTCTAGCGCTGGCACCAATGGTGCCCCCCCAAAGGCCGGGAGTGGGATCCCCATCCCAGAACCGCCCTGACTCTGGCACAGGACCTCTGTCTTCACTGGATTCAACTTCAGCTAGCTCAGTCTAAGCCAACCAGCAACGGCTTGCAGAGCCCAGTCCAAATCTTCCAGTCTGGAGTTCGACTGGCCGCCCAACATCAGATAGAGCTGGGTGTCATCAGCGTACTGGTGGCATCCCAGCCCATGCCTCCAGCCAATCTGGGTAAGGGGGCGCCTATAGATGTTAAATGATATCGGGGACAGCACTGCCCCTTGAGGCACACTGCACTCAAACAGGTGCCTCCTGGACTGCTGTTCCCCTAGCGCTACCCTTTGTCCCCAACCCTGGAGAAAGGAAGCAAGCCATTGCAGGGCAAGCCCCTGAATCCAATCAAAGGAAATAGTTCCTAAAAGAAGGGGGTGATCCTTAGCTAGTGGATAAGAAGGGAAATTGGAACTTGTTTGAATGTTCCTGCCCTTACCACCTTAAGAGTCTGTGATACCAAGAAGCTTACACTAGTTTATTTAAGAAAACGTGCCAAGAAATCGCTCTCCTCAAGTTTTAAAGACCTGTTTGATTAACAGAAACAGTTTGCTACTTTTGAACTACCATCAGCCTCTCACGTGCCATTTTCAAAACAGGACAAAAGAAGGGTATTCGTCTCTCCGCTCAGTTCCCTAGACTGTGTCAACATATATCTAAATACATTCAAATGACTGGGTGGAACAGCCAAAGAAAAACAAAATAGGAAAAGGGGCTGCTCAGCGAAGAACAAGATAAAGGGGAATCCGGTGAGGGAGGGCAAAACCATCAGAGACACAGTATACAAATAATGACCAATTCAATTGTGTGCACAAAGCACTGCACAGATTATTTAATATAATAACAATTCAATAACAGAATGCAAACATCCTCAGGCAATGAAACAATATAGAGTGCAACGCGTTTTGGCAAATAGCCTTCATTATGCTATAACACAATCCATTCTACTGCCACAGGAATCTTTTCCCTCAATCTCTCTTCATTGAACTGCATGTACAGGCAACACCCAAGACTACCAACAAGAAGGAAAGTGAAACCTGACATTAGCAACTCCATCCCCCACTTGGGGATGGCCTCTGAAGACGTGTGTACTTTAACAAAGAAACACAATCTTAATTTTATTATCATTTTATTTATTATCAGATGTATACCCCGCCCTCCCCACAAAGCGGGCTCAATCAAATTCAGGAGGCTGAAGGTCCTCTGATCATGTGGGTGCAGAGGTCATTTCGGGGGGAACACGGGGGAACGCAGTTCCCCCGGGTGAGGTGCAGGGGGCGGGGCACATCACGAAGCCCCGCCCCCTGCTTCCGGCCACCCCGCTTCCAGCCCTCATTCAGCCAGGAGGAGGCAGGAGAAGAGGGAGGGTAAGTTGCTTCCTCCCCGCCTCTCCCCACCCCTGCCTGCCTGGGGCCAAGGAGAGCCTTGGCGGGGCTTCCTCGCACTCCCGCTGGCCTTGCAGGTCCACCGCCGGGCCCCTGATGTCAGGGGGTGTGGCATATGCTAATGAGTTATGCTAATGAGTTCCCCTAGCTCTTTTTCTACGAAATGACCCCTGTGTGGGTGTATGATGTGTGCTTGTCCAAGCTTTATTTTGGGGTGCAGAGCTTTTAAATTCTCCTGAATGTTTTTGGATGGGTTCACGAATAAGGAACTGGGAACCAACTTCAACCTCCTACCAAATTGCCCATACACATTACTTTCCACAATATAACAGAACCAATATGCAAAAACTCTAAACTGTGAATGAGGAATAGGTTTCAAATGAAATTCTCCCTGCATAGGAAGTATTGGAGATGGCCGGCAATACATGCAAGGGATAATAAAATAAGAAGCAGCAGGTTCCTCTTACCGGAAGACATAATCGTGGGAGTCAATCTCCTGGCCCATTCTGGAGTTGTTCAATATTCCCCCATTTCCTACTACAGCACAGGTGATACACCTGGAAGCCTGGCTACTGTGTGCCATGGGAATTAGGTGATAGGGTTTAGGAGGAAGCATGGTTATGACTTCTTTTACCACTGGAAAAGACAAACACATCACTGTTCAGCATAAAGGGCTAGCAGGAACACATGCCAGATCCACACACCATTGGGTACATTGCACAATTGTTGCTCTGCAGGCATCATGCACTTCCTGATCGTCTTGCCTGCACAGGAGGTGTATGACCATGATGGCACAATATCCAGTGATGTGTAAATCCAGACATACTCTGAACTGTGGGGAGAATATAACAGAATTAAGGAAATGAATTGGAGTCCATGAAGTTTGCTGTTGGGAGGAGGGGAAATGAGCCATGAAGGTTCACTAGTGCATGTGGCCCTTCCTCATGTATGTTTGGCTTGGACCACAAGGAACCCACAGGCCAGAGAGGAATGCCAAGCTTATTGGAAGAAATGGCTTTGCAGCTCTTTCCACAAACAGGCATCTTTTCCTATCTGAGAAATAGTGTGCATGCTTCATCTCCATTACTCCCTAAGGTACATGCATCCTGGCCAACCCTTTCTTGGGAGCTTCTTGCCACAGGCATTGGGCATAACAGGGAATTGCTCCCTCTACCCACCTCTCCTGGAAGTGAGGGTTGTTGCCATGTACCTGGGATACCAGAAGCTCCTCGGTCCACAGCAAACAGTGGTATGCCCTTAGAGTCCAGTAGCACCTTCTACTGCTTCAAACCAACACATCTGACCACCTGGAACTATCTTAGTGATACGATCTGTGAGGTTTAATTGTGTTCTGGAAGACCCAGGTTCAAATTCCCACTCTGCCGGGAAACTTGCTGAATGTTCTTGGTCCAGTTGTTCTCTCTCAACTTAACCCACCTCACAGGGTCATTATGAGGATAAAATAGAGGAGGGAAGAATGATGTATGCTGCTCTGTGTTCTTTGGAAGAAAAGTGGGAAGGAGCAGGTTCTGAGTTGTGGGGAGCTTACAAGGCCCTATAGCCTGCTCAGTAAGTGTACTAGTCAGAATTTTTTGTTCCAGTGGGAAGATGCCCCATTATTAGCTCCTTCGTGTCTCTCCCCTGGTTGAGTTACTCACATGCGTAATTTAACTCCATGAACCCAAAAGGGGGGGCGAAATGCTCCAAGCGCTCCCATTCACTGTCACTGCAGTGGCTCCTGTCCATAAAGAGTGTGATGTTAGGCAGGAAAATGCCCTGCAGCCAGTCAGACTTGGCAGCCTTGACCCTCAGTGAATTTGGACAGGTCTTGAAATACAAAGAAAAGGAAACAAAGTTGGGAGGTGACTATAGGATGCAGCAGATCTGCACAATTGATAGTGGTTTCCTCTCTCACAGAGGACTTTTAATGAGGCTGAAATTTAGTGTGTATCTGATACAGGCCCATAGCTACAGTGGGGCCTCTCGGGGTCCACCTCCCAACTTACCGCCAAGGCCCCCGACTTCCCATCCACCCCAGGCCCCTCCCAAAACCCTTATTTTATTTTTTCATGCCATGGTGTGCAGCTGCACCATCACTCTCACCAAGCCTGCCTGCTAGGGCTGCCAAGTGGGGGCGGGTAAACCCCCGCTTTGGAGGCCCGATTTCTGCCGCCGCGCAATCGGGCCCCAGGGGGAACTCTGCCCCCTGAAGTGCAGCGACCACGTTGGGGGCGTGGCCCAGATCGTCAGAGGGAAAAATCAATGGTTTTCCCTCTGACGATCCGGGCCACGGCCCCAACATTGACGTTGCGCATAACTTCTGGTGACGCGCTGGCGGCACGCGTCCACTACACACACACGCACGCACATCCGAGGACGGCTCCCGGAGCCCGGTGAGTTTTTTTGACTTGGCAACCCTACTGCCTGCTGGAACCGAGCCTGCTTGCTGGAGTCCCACCCCTGCCCTCACCCCATGACCTTGCTGGCCAGCCCTGTCCTCCATACCCACACTGCTGGACGGGAAACTGTTGGATGGGGTGTGGGAAAGAAAAAAAGTGGTGGCAGGGGCAGGGTGGTCAATCCAGTACCCCGTCTCCTGGTTTTCATCTTCTTCTTGCTTTGCCAAGCCTCTAGAATCCACACACACCCTGCTCTAAAGAGCCAGACATTCGAATCCCCATAGACTTGTCTGCCCAGCTCCAACTCCCCACCGGTGTTCTTGCTATTCATTCATCCTCATATGACTGCAGGTGACTTTCTCTTATCTAAAACAATGCATTCACAATACTGTTGATCAATAACTTATCACAGCATGACCACGGCGTTCTGACCAGGCCGGGATTCTGCTCCATGGAAAGCTCCAGAGGAGGACCTAGGAGTCCTAGCTCCCCCCCCCCCATTCCCTTGATGTTTTCTTGGCCACAGGCCCCACAAATCCCCACCCTCGCCTCTTTCTGCTTTAACTTGCCAAGGTGCCCCATCCTCCCCCTCCCAATCAAAGGCCTGAGCCCTGGCACCCTGCATGCCAATCTGGGCCTTTGGGCTCTGGGCCCTGATGCTGGAAGGTGCCTGGGGAGAGCCAGTGCCGTGTAAGGAGGACTCCAGATAGAAAGAAGCGGAATTCGGTTAGCCCCTCTGTATTGCTGGCAGGAGCCATGCATGTTCTATGGCTTTTAAGGGCAGCTGGGGTGAGAGATGTTGTTTGTAACTTTGCATGTTAGCTTAACTTTTCTAATGTTGTGAATTGCAGCAAAGCCATAGCCACTACTGTTGCGGCTGCAGCGGCACAGCTTCTTCCCCGCCTGCCCCTGACTTTTTAAAATGCCTCCTGACTACATCCTGGCTACACCCCTGATCTGATACTGTGTCAAACATTCTAAGAGCAGAACATACGATACTGCCTTATCTTGCTCTGTATTCTTTTACTGTGGCCAGCAGCAGCTCTCAATTTTGGTACCTGAGATCCTCTTAGCCGCAGATGCCAAGGAATGAACCTGAAACCTTTGGCATGCAAACCAGGTGGTCCAGCACTGAGCTTTGGCCCATCTTCTCGTTACTACAGGCCTGGCAGCTATTTACATATTATGAATGCTCAAGTTCTCCTGGTGCTTTTTTGTCTCTGGTATTATTTCTACAGCATCTGTCTTGGACAGTTTTCTTATACATGGTGCCCATAAATTAAGAATCCTTTCCCCCTATATGCTGTAAGCCTGTCCTCCATGAAGAATAGAACAATTTAAGTGGTGGCACTTGTGGTATGGAAATCACTCCCCAGTGAGATCCACCAGGCCTGCTCAACTGAGGCCTTTAGGTGACTGGCATTAAAACATAACTTTTTGGTCAAGGATTCAGTAGACAAAGCTCATTAGCCATTTCATTTACATAACATATTAATTTCCAGAAATCAGATTATTGTTACATTTCTATGATTTTCCTTCCTGTGTTTTCAATACTGGTTGTAGGGCTGCCAAATCCCCCCGGGGGGTGGAAAATCCCCCACCCCAGAGGCCCGTTCCCAGATGCCGGGGAATCGGGCCCTGGGGGCAACCCCGCCCCGGTGTGCGCGTCACAGGGCAGTGACGTCATGACGTCGGGCACACTGGGGGTGGGGCCACGGCCATACAAGGGAAAACTCTACGGTTTTCCCTTGTATGGTCATGGCCCCGCCCCCAGCATGCCCGGAGTCATGACGTTATTGCCCTGTGACGCGAATGCGTCAGACTGAACCAAACCGGTCCAGTTCCCAGACCAGTTCTCGAACTGAACTGTGGCCGGTTTGTGAACCAGTCTGGATGTGGAAAAGCCCCCCGAGGGGTCCAAATTTTCAGCATAATTCCAGCTTACTCTCCTCAATGTGCCCACCATGTTTAGTCCCTCTTGGACTTCGGGGGGCCAAGCTACAGACCCCCAAAGAGACAATGCTTTTCAATGGGATGTCCCCCTCACCGGTTCAGGAGTGACCAAAACTGACCCAGGTGAGCTAGAGGCCTCCAACTCACACAGCCTGTCCCTAGGATGGCCCTCCATGTGCCCCACAAGTCACGTGCCTGCTGGGTCTTAGGGGTCTGAGTAGCAGACCCCCAAGGCAGGTGCCCCCTGGGAAACTGCTTCTGGGAGACTTGTCCAGTGATGGTTTCAGACAGTCCAGAACAGAACTAGTTGAGCTACAGGCACCCAACTCTCAGAGGACCTCCCCAGGGACCACCCACATGGTTGCGGGTGCCACTGTCTTCCTGGGACCAATCACCCAGCCCTTTTGACATGAGGACTGGTTGGGGCCAAGCCTCTCACCCTGCCTGGGAAGGTGACAGGGACGGGTGACGCTCTTTCCTCAGGCCCATCCACCCTTAAACGGCAATGGGATCACTGACCAGGGCAGAACTCCCACCCCAGCCCAGGGCCTGGGGAACACCTGCACAGAGATGGGTGGTGCTCTCTTCTTGGGCCCAACCTCCACCTACTGTCATGCCCACAGTGCAGCCTGACCCTGTGGATTCTGTGCCCTCAATGTCCGAGGGTGAGCTCCCTGCACCCCTTGAATCACCAGACCTAAGTCCTGCAGAGGATGAGCACCAGCTACCAGGAGAGTTTACACCTGGAACCGCGCCGGCAGAACCAAGCACGAGAGAAGAAGAAGAAGAGAAGAGATTGGATTTATACCCCGCCCTTCACTCGGAGTCTCAGAGCAGCTTACAAACTCCTTTCCCTTCCCCTCCCCACAACAGACACCCTGTGAGGTGGGTGGGGCTGAGAGAACTCTGACACAAACTGCTCTTTTTCAAGGACAGCTGTGCCAGAGCTTGTAACTGACCCAAGGTCACATCAGCAGGTGCAAGTGGAGGAGTGGGGAATCAAACCCGGTTCTCCCAGATTAGAGTCCACACACTTAACCACTACACCATGCCTCCCGATTCCCCCCTACCGGTGGCTCGTTTGTGAGAACAGACGTGGCAGGACATGGAAACCCGGCGTAAGGAGGTGCGCATGCGAGGTCGGTGTCCTCTAAGCCCAGAGTACTGACTGGAGCCAGGACCCTGTTAGTGGCCGGTAATTGGCTAACAAGCAGAACGGGCTTTTTAGGCGGCTCTCTCAGATCCCCAACTCGTGCTGGCAACTAGTCTCATAGACGACTCACTGCACCCCGGATCCTGCATTCCTGTCTCCTGGTTTTCATCCTGACTTCCCGGCTCCTGGCTTGCATGATGTTGTTTCTCTGGCTCCCTGACTACAGACTGTGTATCCTGACTTTTGACGAACGGCTTTCGGCTTCTGAACTCTGCATGCAATCTCCAGTAACCCTAGACTGCGTCTTGACTTGGTATTTTGGACTCTGCTCACGTTACTCTGTCTTATCCGGTGCCCTGACCTCAGACTGTGTTTTGGACTTTCCGTGCCCTGCCTGGCCCACCAGCGCAATCGTGACACCTACCGGCAAGGTGATTACTGGGCAGGGCCATTCCTCCCACCCTGCCTGGGGCCCTGGGAATACCCACATGGGGGTGGGTGGTGCTCTCTCCCCAGGCCCCACCCTCCATCCACCAGCAACATAACATCCAAGCAGGGCCAACCCTCTCAGCCTGCCTGGGGCCCAGGGAAACCCACACAGGGGTGGGGGTGCTTTCTCCTTAGGCCCACCCTCCACCCACCAGCAACATGATATCTGGGCAGGACCAACCCTCCCACTCTGCCCGGGGCCTGAGGAACATCTGCACTGGGTGGGTGGTGCTCCTTCCCTGGGCCCCACCCTCTGCCCTGAAGGCAATGTGATTACTGGGCAGGACCAACCACCCTTGTCCTGCCTGGGGCCCAGAGAACACCTGCACGGGGACAGGTGGCTTTCTCTCCCCAGGCTCCACCCTCCACTCACTGGGAAGGGCCAACTGGGAAGTGACTACTGGGAAGGGCCAACTCTTGCCACCCTGCCCAAAGCCCGCATGGAGTGGGCGGTGCTCCCTCCCTGGGCCCAACTGTCCAACCACCGGCAACGGGACTACTGGGCAAGGCCGAACCACCCACACAGCCCAGGGAACACCTGCACAGAGATGGGTTCTCCCTGGGCCCCACCCTCCACCCACCAGCAATATGACTACCGGGCAGGGCTGAACCCACCACCCACCCCAGAGCCTGGGAAAAACCTGCACAGCGGGGTGCTCTCTCCCCAGGCCCCACTATCCGCCCACCAGCAATGTGACAACCAGGCAAGGCCAAAACCACCACCCTGCCCAGGGCCTGGGGAACACCCACATGGTGCAGGTGGTACTCCCTTCTTGGGCCCCAACAACCTGAAAATGACATGATTACTGGGCAGGGCCAACCCCCCACCCTGCCTGTGACTGGGGAACACCCCCACAAGGGTGGGTGGCACTCTCTCTCCCCAGGCCCCATCCTTCCCCAACTGGCAAGGTCATTACTGGGCAGGACTGAACCCCCCCTACCCTGCCCAGGGAACACCCGCACAGGGGCAGGTGTTGCTCTGTCCCTGGGCCCACCCTCCACCCACAGGCAATGTGACTACTGGGCAGGGCCAACCTCCTCCACCCTGCCTGGGTGGAAAAGATCAGGCACTTGGGGGGGGGGGGCGCTCGAGCCGGTCCATCCAAGCCTTGAACCAGGCAAGGTTCGACCCAGATTTTGGCTCAGTGTTCAGGTCTGTGGCCATCTCTAATAGTCATCATCTTGAACCTGAGCAGTGGTAGGAGCTCAGAGTAAGGCCATGTGCCACAGGGTTCTCAATGCACAAAAAGAAACCTTGGGACAAAGACACATACCACAGACAAGTTTTTGATTCTATCCCAGATTGTTAATAACTGCACCAAACCAGCTTTGTACTCTGAAGGCATCTGAAAGATAATAAACCACTAGTATCTTTAGGATATTTATGACCATGCATCTACTTACTGACTGTGGAGTTAACTTGGCCTGAAGATACTGGTCATCAAAGTCCCATTGGGGCTCAGATTTGAAGTCAGATGCTTTGAACCTTTTCTTGTGGGTTGGTGCAGAAATGGCATGTGTGCCTTGTAGAGCTCCAGGTGCAGATGCGTCGTGATTTTCAGCAACAGACACTGGCTTTACTTCGGTAGACAATTTCATTGAAGGAGGATCAGAAGTCACCAAATGCTGTTCAGGTGCATCTGTTCCCTTTAACTGTCCCTTGGTTTGCTTTGTAGTGGAAGGTGGTGCCACATATGTCGCCTCAGCTGGCTTTCCTCGTTTGTCTTCTGCCATTACTTCTTTATTTTTCTCTTCCTTTGAACTGGATATTGGTGCTATGCTCTTATCTTGTTTTTGATTGGCAGTTGGTGTTGCACCCCTAGCAAGGTTTTGATTGGCTGTATGTGTTCCAGACCTACTTTCAGCTTGCATCGCATTGGCTTGGGGTCTTAATTCCTTCACAGCTTGTTTTTTGTCTGCTGGCACCACAAAACTATCCCTGGTCTGCTTCTCAGCAGATGCAGATGTCACCCCTCCTTCCTTGGCATGCTCTTCTTTGGCATCCAGGTTGTTGTTAAGTGCCAGTCTCTTAACAACGTATCGCTCTTGTGAAGTATTGTCAGAATCGAGTATCACCTTTAGAGGCTTTGCTCTCTCCTGGCAGGATGCCACAACTCTTTGGGTACGCTGCTGGATGTTCACTTGCAACATTCTGGTGGCAGGATGAAAATAATCAAAGGGTCTAAGGGAAGCTCAAAAGACAGTTACCTCCAAAATACTGCTTATTGCACAAGACCACTGGTAGCCAAGGGATATCCACCCACTCTGGGCCACAATGAATTCCATACAAACAGTATTTCTGGAATAAGAGGGAGTGCACTGTATGACTGTGGAAAGGCAATTGAGAGATTTTATACCTCAGTAAAAATAATGATAAGCACTGAGGATGAGTTAATAAAACCCACACTCACACAAACCAGCCAAGTTGAAACTGCATAGATGGGCTTGATGGTGTGATATCTTGGACTTATTTAATGAACAGCTGCTATCAAGACCTCTATATGATGAAATGCAATTGCCAGAATGATTGGGGGGGGGGAGCAGCTTATATATAGAACCACTGGGAAAAGGCAATAAGAAAGGAAACCAGTTTGGGGGTGTGGGTGTAAATGTTGGATAAGTTACTGTTCTGTTGTAATGTACCACTTCTAGCCCTGTTATGTTTTGAAATAGTTGGAGCATGCAGTGCACTAACAATCCCTTTTGCTTCTTCCTTTCTCAAGTCTCTTGTTCCATATTTTCAGTCCTCTGGAACCAGAACAGGTGCTGCTGGCACAGCAAATGAGATTAGTCTGAACACACATCTATGCAGATCCTTAATGTAAAGTAAGAAAAGGGGTGACCCATTACACAAGTTACTCATTCTCATAACTGTTGTGGTTGCACCAATATGCAGAGTAGCTTCTGGCCATATAATAGTCCATAATGATTAACTCATTGCCTGAAGTTTAAAAACAAAACGCAGGCACACATACTTTAAAAAACGTCCTCAAGAAAACAAGGCTTGTATATGTCAATTTGCAACCAGCTGTTGTGGCTTGGAATCACAGCTAGAGCACATGATATGCCTATTTATCAAACATCAAGGTATAGGGGAAACATTGCAGGTGTTTAGTTAATGGTCTGAGGTCCTGGCCCCTCATCTTGGGAAACTGTTCGGAGCTGTCAAACCTTGCTATGCTATGCTTGCTTCTGTTGCCATAATGGTTGGGGGGAGGGCATACCTGAGGGTGAGGTGTGTGTGTGCAGGAGTGAATGAGACTTTTGCTTTTAGAAGATGTAACTTTTCCACCAGACGTGCCCTTCTCCTCTCCTTTCTGCTTTCCCAGGAGAAGTGACTTTGAGCACATTCTTGTACCATCTCAGACTCTAGATTACCAGGACATAGGGCTGCCAAGCCGCGGCGGGGGATCTGTGTGTCTTCACAGGATCCCTGCCACGGGGGACAGCGATACGTGTTGCACCGCTGTCGCCAGGATGTGATGCTACGCGTCGCTCTGGCAACGGGACTCCAAACAGCCCCGTTGCCAGAGCGACGCGTAGCGTCACATCCTGGCGACGGCGGTGCAACGCGTATCGCTGTCCCCCGAGGCAGGGATCCTGTGAAGACGCACGGATCCCCTGCTGCGGCTTGGCAGCCCTACCAGGACATATATCTCCCCTGGTTGGCATGGCAATTAGGTGAAGTGTGGATGTGATGTATGCTTGGGGGTTGGATGGGCCCTTTTTGATTTTCTATAATATGTCTATACCCGCCAAAAGATTTCTATTCTAACACAGTGACTTCTGGATCTTGCATATGCTCTAATAAACTCATCACTGCCAAAGCGAGAGTATTTGAGTATAACTGGACTGGGGTCTGACAGTAGCCCATTATCCCTGGAGTAGCCCATTATCCCTGGGTGGGAGTTGCCAATCTCTCTCTCTCATTCTCTGAACCATAATTGTATGGACATCTGGTCACCATAAGTTACCACCATTGCTTTTCCAGAGGCATGCCTTCCTTGGTAGCATAAGAGATCAGTGTTAAGGGGCAGGAAAAGCCATCCATGACAGGTTTTGCTTATTTTTTTAGCTGAAAAACAGATTGACACGAGAGGCTTACAGGACCCAGGATTTGGGAAACAGGTCATCTCCTCCTGTCATATTGTCCTCCTACAGCTGCAACAAAGGGAGGAGTATTTGAGACTGGCTGCTG